AGCAGTTCTCAATAATCAGTTCTCAGCAATTATTTGTTATTATTACAGTTTAACATTATAAAATTAACAAAAATAATATAAAACTCATATTCTGGCGAAATAGCCACATGGCAGCCGAAAACCATATATTCCCTTCCTGTTCTTCCAGCCGTTCGTGCATTTTTTCCAAAAATCGAGACTTTTTAAAAACGCCACAGGACGCGGGACAAATTATTGAAAAGCAGGATGTCTGGTCACCCTAAGCTAGAGGTCACTGTATTTCTGGAGCTTGCTGCCTAGCAAGGGTGGTGCTCAGCACATCACTTAAGAATGCGTAATTGTGCAAGTGACATGGCTCTACACCCTGCCATGACTTCATGCTATGGAAAGTGCCATGAAAGGAAAAGTATGTGGAGATTTGCAGGCTTGTAACAGGGAAGGGCAGACGTGGTGTGGGGGAATGGGTCACCGTATGGCTTCCCTGGGGAAGTGATAATTGAGCTGAGGTTTAAATAATGAACAAGGAGAGAGGTAACACTCACAAGGAGTGGTTGATTACTTCTCCCTCCCTGACCCTTCTCCCAGGGGCAGGAATCACACACTCTTCTGTGTTCCACCCAGCAGGTAGCATTTGAGATAGTGGAAATCCTTAGGCATTGATGACTCAATAGAACGTTGCATACAAATGTCAAGACTGAGTTTGTTCCAAGGATATTTGTGGGACTGGATAACACTTGTTTCCACATCTTTAATTTTCATACTTGTATTTTGGTTGATATTACAAAGAACTTCAGGTGGCATTATATGACCTTATAACCTTCGCATATACAGGAAATCCTTTCCAATTTAATTGCTGGACTGTCTTCTTGTACAGTCAGTTGAATCTGTTGCTTTTTTAATTGTTCTTCTTTGTTCTTGCCTATATTTTTGTATCTACTCCCCCATGAGTATGTTCTAAATAGGATACTTTGAAAAAAAAATGTTTACTCTATATTCTCTATATTTTAGAGGAACACATTTTGAAGCTGTATATTTTGCAAATGAGACAAAGTAGTTGTCTCTCTGTCATAAGTCTCTTAGTGAATCTTCAGATCTCTGGGGTGACCCTCTGTGTGCATTTTTTCAAGAACAAAAACCCTATGGGATGTGGATAGGGGCTTGTTTCTGCCCTGGATATGTATCGTCTTTGTGAGCCAAGGACAAGATTGAAGAAGTGGGCCAGGTGTGGTGGCTCAGCCTGCAATCCTAGCACTCTGGGAGGCCAAAGCAGGTGGATCGCCTAAGTAAGAGTAAGATCCCATCTCTACTAAAAATAGACAAACCAGCTGTGCCAATAGTCCCAGATACTCAGGGGACTATAGCACTTTACCTAGGGCTATAGAGTGAATGTTTGTCTTAAAAAAAAATTGAAGAAGTGACTAGACTCACAATGACAAGGTCTATGTGAGAACATAGATATTGAATCTTTCCAGGGCACCTACGTTGGCCAAAGTAAAATTTATTCCTTTTTGATACATAATTGTTAGCATGGTTTCAATCCTGAATCCAAATTTTGGATCAATAACAAAACAAAATACAAATTGGGGTAAATGATTATAAAATGTCCTGCTGGAAAGTCAGTTAAGGCATCCTAATATAACCAATGGTGAAATGATTAGGGGGAGGTATCACTATAGACCCTTGTCACTACCCGGACTATTTTTGCAGAGGGTTAGATGTGAAGCTAGACAAATCACCTCCCCCATAATTCACCAGTTGTAACTAGTAAACGTATGGTTGGTAGGCTGGCTCTCAATATCAACCTAATACATTGACTTTATTTTGTTTTCAAATCTAGGGACATAGAATAGTATATCACTTCCAACTTTTATTATGCATCAAGTCTCAAGATAAATACGAAAATTTTTCAAATAAATTCTAAATGGTTTTTATTATATGGTTTCCATTGAAAACGCAGAGCCACTTAAACAGCATCAGATTCTTTTGTTGTTGTTGTTGAGACAGAGCCTCAAGCTGTCCCCCTGGGTGTAGTGCCATGGCATCACAGCTCACAGCAACCTCCAACTCCTGGGCTCAAGTGAGTCTCCTGCCTCAGCCTCCCAAGTAGCTGGGACCACAGGCACCCGCCACAATGCCCAGCTACTTTTTGGTTGCAGCCGTCATTATTGTTTGGCGGGCCTGGGCTGGACTCAAACCCACCACCTTAGGTGCATGTGGCTGGCGCCTTAGCCACTTGAGCCACAGGCACCGAGCCCAGATTCTTTTTTAAAAATTTGACAAATAAAAATTATATATTTATAGTATAGAACATGATGTTTGTTTTTTTATTAAATCATAGCTGTGTACATTAATACTGTCATGGGGTACAGTGTGCTGTTTTTATATACAGTTTGAAATATGAAGATGATGTTTTGATATAGGTATAATGAGTAAATCAAACTAATTTATCATCACCTCACACGATGATTTTATCGTGGTGAGAATGTTTAAAAATACACTTCCTTAGCAATTTTCAAGTATACAATATATGTTAGTCCATTCAGGCTACTGTAATAAATTACCATAAATGAGCTGGCTCATAAACAATAGGAATGTACTGCTCACAGTTCTGGAGACTGGGAAGTCCAAGATCAAGGTGCCAGTAGATTTGGTGTCTGGTGAGAGCCTTCTCCTCATAGATGGTGTCTTCTCATTATATCTTCATATCGTGGAAAAGGAAGACAAGGGCCCTCTCTAGGGCTTGTTTTATAAGGTACTCATCTCACTTGTGAGGGTTCTGGCCTTGTGGTGTAATCTCTTCCCAGAGGTGATTATAATACTATCACCTTGAGAATTAGGTTTCCAGCATATGAATTTGGGGGGATACATTTAGGCAACAGGACAATACAATATTGTTAACTATAGTCACCATGCTATACGATAGAAGTCCAGAACATACTTTTCTTTTCTAACTTAAACTGTCACCTTTCACCAACATTTCTGTTCTCCCTTCCCAATCCCCACTCCCTGGTAACCAGCATTCTACTCTCTGATTCTGTAAATTTAACTTTTTTAGATTCCACATAAAAGTGAGAACATGCAGCATTTGTCTTTCTGTGCCTGGGTTATATCACTTTATATAAAAATGTCCTTCAGGTCAATTCATGTTGTCACAAATAACAGGATTTCCTTTATTTTTAAGGCTGATAGTATTTCATTATGTATATATACCACATTTTCTTTGTTCATCTGTTTGCAGACAATATTTTGGTTATTAATGATATGAATAATGCTATAATTAACATGGGAATGCAGATATCTATTCAACCTACTTATTTCTTTGGATAAATACCCAGTGTTGGAATTAACTATAGTCACCATCATTTTTTTCATTTTTGAGGAACCTCCACACTGTTTCCCACAATGACTGTTTGCATTCCCAACAACAGTGTACGAAGACTCCCTTTTCTCTAAGTCCTTGCCAACATTTGTTATCTTTTGTCTTTTTGATAAGGTGGGAGGTGATATCTCATTGTGGTTTTTAATTGGAGTCTTCCTAAGCATCAACTCTTAATGTTTTGGTCAAAGAGGTATTTGTTAAGATGAAGAGTAAGAATCGTGGTAGTTATTATCAAACTACGTATTAAGGTCAGAACAGTGAAGGGAGGATTTCCCACTCACTTGAAAGCTTTCATCTCCCCCTTCCATAAAAGGAGAAATGAACAAGAAAAAGTGTAAAAATAGTGGCATTACTTTTATAATATTTAAGAGACTCTAACAGTTACTCTTGTATATATTCTTTTTCTTTCTAGGAAAAGCCATTGACAAAATCTCTACAACGTGGAGAAGACCCTCAGTTTGATCAAGTATGTGATACGTTATATAACTTGATTCTGGTTTATGTTTATTTGAAAAGGAGCAAAAGTCAAGGCCAAGATGCTCAAAAAGCATATGGCTATGTGGCCTTAAGAACTGTGCCCTGTAGCATTCACAGTTATGGTTTCTATGCATAGATGATCGGTAAATGTCTATCAATTTGATAAGAAAGAACTGTGAAATATTTGGATAATATGAGTAGAACATCAGTTGTTTGCTAAATCTTTGTATAACAATTAAAGAAAATAAGAAAAGATAGTTTAGATCAATATTCTAAGTACAATAATTTCAAATAAGCTTAAATGAATATTTTTGTATTTGTGTAATAATGGAATACTCTGACTTCTAAATTATGAGTAAATATTGTAACACACAAAGAAGAAAAGATAGTTTAAAGGAAATTTCATTAAAAAACTTGAGATTCATCTGAATAAATAATATTATGTCAGTTATTTTCAACTGGTGTGCTGAGGCACACTGGTGTGCCATGAGAAGATCTTATGTGCAAAAAGTTTTAAAGATAATTAATTAAGGCCAAGTACAGTGGCTCATGCCTGTAATCCTAGCACTCTGGGAGGCCAGAGCCGGATGGACTGCATGAGCTCAAAAGTTCAAGACCAGCCTGAGCAAGACTGAGACCCCTATGTGTATTAAAAATAGAAAAATTAGCCAGGCAATGTGGCGAGTGCCTACTTGGGAGGCTGAGGCAGGAAGATCGGTTGAGCCCAGGAGTTTGAAGTTGTTGTGAGCTAAGATGATACCATAGCACTCTACCCAGGGTAACAGAAAGAGACTCTGTCTCCAAAAAAAGGTAAAAGAAAAAGATCATTAATTAAATTATTTTCCAAAGAAGTTCAAGGCACAAATAAGGATATTCTTTTTTTTAACCACTTTTTTTTTTGATCAATATAATTTAAGTGTGCCATGGAAGTTTAACTATAGGTTCAAGTGTGCCCTGAAGCAAAAAAAGGTTGAAAAACACTGTATTATGTGACGATCAAATCTCCTCTCTGGAGCTTATCCTGTTTTTATCCAACATATTTTTGAATGCCTACTATTTGCTTGACACAGTGCTAGGTACTGGTGACATACAATCTAGGGTAAGTTTTGGATCTTCAAGAATTCACAATCTTGTGGGAGAGAAACTACCCCAATAATCATGAACATGTGCGTTCAACAAGAAAATAATTCATATTATATATGAATTATTTATTCCAACAGAGAAAATAATTCATGGGCAAAATAAGACAGAATAAATACAAAGAAAGTCCTTTGAAAGTAGGTTAGGACTAACAAAAGGACACCCAGCTCTAAATGGTAGTAATAAACACAAGAAATAAGGATTGGATTGATTCTAGTTCAGTAATTTCAGGAAGGCCCCAGGAACATTTAAGAATGGCAGGTACCAGGACATCAGAGGAAGCTGGAGATGTGTTGGTGATGTTTCCTCAACTCTACAGTTGATGAAAAGAGGACAACATGTTTTTCTTCAAAAATCTCAGTTGCTGCCAATGTCAAATACAAAAGCCTACTGGATGTACCATTGTCCAATCTAATATGGTATTTTTTAGGGTCTAATGAAGAACACACAGAGAGTACACTTTCTGTAAGGCTTGAAAATGCCTTTAATGTGGAAATATCTGGCTGTACAAGTCCAGATTTGTGTGATCCAGAAACATCATGCCTTACTGTGCAGACAGTATTCTCCTTTTTCTATTTTATGAGCTGCTGTTTGAGGGAGACCGCACACATTTATGATTATGTTTAGCCTTCCAAGTCCAGTGTGGCTCTGGGCTTGCTCTCTGTTGCTGGCAGAGCTGCCTGTTTTCTAGAATGCTGGCAAAATGGAGGATGGGTCTCATCGCTCTGTGGCATCTAGCTGTCTTCCTCTGTAGTCATGTTGTCAGATGCTGTTGGCATTTGGCAGGTGTTAGGGTCAGAGGCCCTTGGGGAATATGGTACATGTTGTTTGGAACCACCATTATGGAGATGTGGCAAGTTGTGGCTCTTTATATTCTCTTTAAGAATCTAAATATTTGTCATCTGTTTTCTTTAGTTTCCCATTATGATATATATTCTTTGTCTCTTTATCCTATTAAATTATCACTGTCTTTTCCTCAAAAAAAAAAATGAATGTTATTTTTCTCTAGCTTAATGTACCTCTTTATTCTCTGGCAAAATAGTTCTTCTAAATTTTAACATTGCATATTATACTGTAGTGATCCCATATAATTGGTCTTAAGTATGATTTTTCATTTATTGTTCAGTTTTCTTTTTCTTTTTCAACATTGTAGAAAAGAGATAGTCTTTGGAATTTGACAGACCTGTATTTAAATCCAAACTGTGATGCTTAATTAGCTATGTTACTTATAACATTGTAGCTCAAAGTGTTGTTCAGAGATCTGCATCCGATGCATCACCTGGAAGCTCGTTAGAACTGCAGCCTCTCAGTCTTGCCCCAGAACTACTGCATCTGCGTCTTAGCAAGCCCTGTGGGACTCACTTGTACATTAAAGCTTGATGAGCACTGGCCTGTAACATATCTCTACATGTTAAAGACACTTTAGGACTGAACCAACAGTAAGATGGTCGCTAAGGACTTTCAAATAAAACCTGTAGGATTGTCTTCTGATCATTAAATCATAAACTCACATGTGAACCAGGAGAGAAGACAATCTACAATGTTTATCTTATTCTAAATATATTCCAAGACTCCTAGGCCTAAGAGGAGCTTGACAGAAATTTGGTTCACCTGTGGATTTGTGAAAAAAAGTTAGCAAACTAACTATTGAAAGTGCCTGCTATGTTTTCAATGTGTTCCTGCCCAAATTCAGGTGTTGGCAATGGGATACTGTTTGGCCTTAAAAGATGATTAGGCAAGGCTATAGGTATGCCCAGCTAGTTTTTCTATTTTGAGTAGAGATGGAGTCTTGCTCTTGCTCAGGCTGATCTCATTCTGAGCTCAAACAATCCACCCACCTCAGCCTCCTAAAGTACTAGGATTACAGGTGTGAACCACCTCACCCAGCCACTACATGCTTTTATCAAAGGGCTTGGCAGAGGGCTCTGATCTCTTTTTCCCTTTCATCTTGTGAAGATATGGCATTTGGAGTGCCATTTGGAAGAGGAGAGGAATCTTCACCAAATAATGTACCTACTAGTCTACTAGTGATTTGATCTTGGACTTCCAACCTCTAAAACTATGAGAAATAAATTTCTGTTCTTTTATTTTTTTCAGATTAATATGAAAGTACACAGAATTAGGTTTCATTGTTTGCATTTGTAAGGTCAAGTCCAAGTTGTAGTTGTTTCCTTCACCCAGGGAAGTGTGCCAGATACCTGTGCATTGGGTGGGAACTTGTTGAACTCTCTCTCTTCCCTCTTCTTGAATTTAATCGAGTTTTTCTCGCAAGTGAGCACAAAATTGTTAATCTACTAATTTCAATTTAGTATTGAACACACATGATACTTGTTTTTCCATTCCTATGATACTTAGGAGAGTGTTCTCCGAATCCATCCAGGTTGTTACAAAGATATAAAATTTCCACCTTTTCATGGATGAATAGAATTTGATGGTATACATATACCACAGTTTATTACTTTATTCATGTGTTGAAGGGCATTTGGGTTCGTTCCACATCTTTGGAAATGTGAATTGAGCTGCTATAAACATTCAAGTGCAAATATCCTTATGGTAAAATGACATTTTTTCTTTTGGGTAGTTACTTAGTAATGGGATTGCAGGATCAAATGCAAGGCTTACTTTTAGCTCTTTGGAGACTCTCCATACTTCTTTCCATAAAGGCTGTATTAATTTGCATTCCCACCAACAGTGCATGAGTGTTGCCTTCACTCTGCACTCATGCCAGCATCTGCTGCTTTGGGAACTTGTGATGTTTTTAATAAACTACCCAAGTCTCAGCAACACAAAACAGACTAAAGCAATGTTTATCTACTGTTGCAACCAACAAATTATAAGAATTACAATTCCTTTGGCAAGGAATCCTTAAATATATCAAGGTCTCTTAATCTTTTCGTATAAACGTTTAAATTATATAATTCCCCTTGTTCTGATTCCAGACAATAGGATTTTAATCTGGATTCCTACAGAGGTCTGTCTATGGGAAATGAACACACTGGAGATGCCACCTAGAGTGGTGTAAAGTCCATTGCTGTAATCATAGCTATAGTAGTCATTGTAGAGGTAACATTTATTTAGTACTTTCCATAGGATAGGTACTGTGTTAGTACATATTTTGAACAGCACACAACCGGTCCTTGTTTGTATCAATTTCTCCCCTAATTGTCACTGACATAAATGACAGGGTATGAAGAGCTATCCCTCAGCACCAATCCTAGATGACCCTGTTTACTCCTCCACTCAACCAGCCGGTAATTCATTTTCCTCTTCCTATAAATAGAAGCAAAGAAAAAAAAAATCATGTAATACTTTATAATTTACCAAGCCCCTTATTATATATCTCACTTGACATCACTTAATTCTTCCAACAACTCCAAAAAGAAGATACCATCATCTCCATATAGCATGTAGTAAAAATGCGTCTCAGAACAGTTGCCCAATATTATGACTAAAACCTAAAGGAGCCAAGACTGGAATCCATATGTTATGACTATAAAAGCTGTGATCTTTTTACTACATAACCTGTTTATGGTTCTGAAAACTAGGTTGATGAGAATTCAGGTGGGATTTTTCAAGGGGTAAAGGATCCAAGATCCTGCATCATTTATAATTAGGTTTGGCTGCAAATGATGAAGTAAAATCTTCCTGAACAAGACAAAAGTTTATTTCTCACTATGTTGAAAAAGTATAGAAGAAAGAGTGGTGCCTGTGGCTCAAAGGAGTAGGGTGCTGGCCCCATATACCAGAGGTGGTGGGTTCAAACCTGGCCCCAGCCAAAAATTGCAACAACAAAAAAAAGTATAGAAGAAATCAGTTCAGAAGATAGTATTTTTTTCTTTTTTATATATA